CTCCTGTGGGGATTCTGGGCACACACACGCTCTTGGCATCTTTCTCAAGCCTCCAGGGCCAGCCAGGATTCAAATGTGTGGCCAGCCATGTGGGACCTGGCTCCCCTAACCCTCAGCCCACAGGACTTGCCCCTACTTAGCATCTTTATTTGACAGAGAGGAAAGTCAGGGCCCGGAAGTCGGCTGGAACTTGCTGAGGTGCTCTGTGTGTGTGGTGGAGTCTGCTTGGCTCGTCCCCTCGCCTCCTTCAAGCGTTTGATCCAATGTTACCTTTCTCTTATCCCAGCTGCCCTACTTAAATGTAGGTTTTCAAGCATGTTTATAAATCTTTTTTTTTTTTTTAAACTTGCTATAGGGTGTGTGAGCTTGCCGAAGAGAGACACAGAGAGAGAGAGGGAAGGTGAGAAAGCACCCCTCTAGGGAGGATGGCCATGCCACAGTCCCTTCTCTTCCATTCTGCTCTCGGGATTTTGGACCCACATGCACAAGTGTCCAGCATGATTTTCAAGCCACTGGGTCCAGGACGCTAAGTGTGTAGTCGGCCACGTAGGCCACCTGGCTGGCACCTGTTCGTGAATTGTTTGATGTTCCTCCCATACATTCCATGGATGTAGGGTAGATGTAGCGACTCACTCCTAACAGACAGATAGCTGAAGTGATGGTGTCAATTCCAAGACTAGGTCATAATCCATATGATGGCTTCCTCCTTCCTCTGCTCTTAAATCACTTGCCCTGGGGGATGTTAGCTGACATCTTGTGAGGATGCTCAATCAGCCCGCAGAGAGGCCCCCCATGGCAAGGAACCCAGACTTTTTGCCAATAGCCCGTGGGGAACTAAGGAAGGCCTTTTGCCCACAGTGTCTGTGCACTATCTTGGAGGCAGATTCTCCAGCCCCAACCAAGCTTTCTGATAATTGCAGTCCATCTGCACCTTGTTTGCAACTTCATGAGAGACTCAGCCAGAATAAACTAGCTGAGCTGCTCTTGGGCCCTGACCCTCAAAAACAGAGATAAGAGATGTTTGCTGTTTTAAGCTGCTTCTTGTTGGGGTAATTCATTGCATAGGGAGAGAACCAGTACATGAATGTAACAACCTGTCCTGTTCCATGCTCCACGTGGGCCTTACCTTGGCCTACGGTTAATTTTTTTCTAAGCATTTATCATCTCCTAACACATTAAGTAAGTCACTTCCTTTTGATGTTCAATTGTTTATCTCCCTACCACCCGACTACCAGCAACAGGGAACATTGTCCATTTCATGTAACACTTAGAACAGTGGCTCACGTGTTACATTAAGTTTAAGAAGCTACCAATTTAAGAAGATTCTTATTTTGGAAAAGTTAAATTGTGAAAAGGAATTTGTGTTTTAGGCCAGCCCATGGACTGGTGGTTAAGGAAGCTGGATCCCGTATGGCCGACCATGTATAATAGTTTGAGTCCCTGACCCAGTGGCTTGAAAAACATGCTGGACATGTTTATGTGCAGGCCCCAAATACCAATAGGATGAAGAAATGGAGGATAGATTGCAGTGTGGCCATTCCCCATTGGGAGGTTCTTTCTCTCTCTTTC